CATCAGCTCTTTTCCAACCCGCTGGTAGTTCCCCGGTGCTCCAGGATTTTTGAAAGACATGGTACAATGGTTCTGAGATGACATCTGCCAGCTCCTTCAGAACTCTGAGATGTAAATCATCAGGTCCCGGTGATTTATGTTCATCAAGATCAGACAGGTGTTCTCTTATTATTTTTTGTTTAACTTTTCTTTCTTGACTTTTTTCTTGTTATTTATATGTTGAAAGAAACTTTTTTTATTATCTTTTGTTACAAGTCTTTGTTCATTCTGAGCCCTTGCTTTCCTGACTTTTTCTTTGCAGATTCTGGCTATCTGCTGATATTCTGCCTTAGTTATGTGTCCCTCTTTTCATTTTTTGTACTTGTCCTTTTTATCTTTCAGTTTATCAAAGAGATCTTTGTGCAGCCATGTTGGTTTCTTCTTAGATTTCTTGTTTTTCTTTTTCACTGGTATTGTGCTGGATTGGGCTTTTATGATCATATTTTTCAGAGTTTCCCAAGCTCTCTCGAAGTTTGTTAAAATCAGCTCTTTTAAAATATAAGACTCTGGTATCATTATGTTTTATTGCTTGTGTTTGCATTATATTGAATTCCAGTCTGACATGGTCACTCTCACCCAAGGTTCCTGCAGTTTCAACTCCCTCTATCACTTCTCTGTTCGTGAGAATTAAGTCCAGTATAGCTGTCTCTCTATTTCCCTCCTCTACCTTTTAGACAACAAAGTTGTCACCTAGATTGGTCTATTCAATTTCTTTCTTGGTGCAGACTTGGTCTTTCAGTTGATGTCAGGGTAGTTGAAGTCCCCCATTACTATTGTAGTGTGTTTCCTACATATATTTGTTAATCGGTTAGCAAAAAGTACATCTATTTTTTCTGCTTGATTGTGTGGCCTGTAGTACACCTATGGCAATGTCATTCTTTTTTTCTTTTACATTGACCATAAGCATTCTAGGGTTTTTTTTGTCTTTGGTCTCATGCATTTCTGTAACAATATAGTGGTCTTTTACATATAGTGCAGCTCCACCTCCGCTTTCATGGGGTCTGTTTTTTTAACAGTTTGTATCCTTCTATCAGTATGTTCCAGTCATGGGTTTCATCCCACCAAGTTTCATTAATTTATATTATATCGTATCTACCTTCATGTATTAATAATTCAAGTTCACCCTGTTTGTTCCCCAAACTTTGAGCATTTGTATATAGGCATTTGAGATCTTTATTTCTGACTCTGGGTATGCTTCCCATGTCTCCTATTTGGTATTTGATTTTGTCTTCCTTCCCATCCCTCCTTGCCTCATTATTTGATTTATTTTCTAGGGGTTTTTGCTTGTAATTAGTCCTGGAGATCCTAAAGATTGGTCACCCTCCCCCTTAGTTTTAGTTTAAAGCCTCCTGATAAGTTGAGCCAGGCGTTTTTGAAAACGTTCTTCCCAGTTTTTGTGAGTGCAGCCGATCGCTTGCCATCATGGACGTAGTACAGACCATGGTCCAGGAATGCAAAGTTCTTTTGACGACACTAACCCTTTAGCTAGTGGTTCACTTCTAAAATCCTTTGTTTTCTTACCGGATGTTGACCTTTCATTGGCAGTACAGATGAAAAAACTACTTGTGCACCTAACTCCTTGACCTTCTTGCCTAGCTGTTCACAATCACTCGATATTGTTTTCAGGTCCATTTTCGTGTCATTTGTCTCTACATGTAGTAGTAGAAAAGGATAGTAATCTGTGGGTTTTATTATTTTGGTTAGGTTCTGAGGTGGACATGGTCTTTTCAGCATGAGTTTCTTCCCATATAGGATGGATCCTGGCCCCACCTGGCTCTTTCAGGAAGCTAGAAATAGAGTCAGTAGCTAGGGTGATTAATATTATTTTGAGGGAGCAAGTGATGCCATATTACATCACTTGCTATACATACAGCTATGTTAAATCTTTTAAATCTTAAATCTTTTAAAATAAGTCATTTTAAACAGGGCTGCTAGACAATTATCTACAATAGGAATCAAAAAATAACTTAAGTGTTACTGTTCTTTTCACCATAGTGCAATTTTTAGTTTGAGCTCTTACTTGTGATTGTTTGGGTTCACTCTTGTCTTCCTCCAGTTTTACTCTAGCAGTGGTGGCGAACCTATGGAATGGGTGCCAGAGGTGGCACTCAGAGCCCTCTCTGTGGGCACATGTGCCGTGCCCCGTAGATGGCCAGGGAATGGCCTCTGCCACCCTGGCCCCGCCCACCCAGTCTGCCATGACCACGGTGGCCATGCCCACCCGGCACCCGGTGATAAATAAGTGGGTTTTGGTTGCAGTTTGGGCACTGGATCTCTAAGAGGTTCGCCATTACTATAGGCATCTTTTGCTGTATTTCATTTCTTGGAATTCTTCAGAAAACCAGGGAGTGCCTGAGGTTGACTTACAGCTAGAGGCCACATAGGACCAATCTGATCTGTGCTCTCATCATTTGTACCAATGAAGGAGAATATTTGTAGCTCAGGGTTGAAATGATGGTTCTTTGGTGCTCTCTGAGTTTGGTTGTTTTTTTTGCAGATGTTTCATTACCCAAAACTAGGTAACATCATCAGTGCTACTCCTAGCATTAGTACTGATGATGTTACCTAGTTTGGGTAATGAAACGAAAACAACCAAGCTCAGAGAGTACCAAGGATCCCTGAACTCATCAGTGGGCCAGTTTTTGGCAACAAGTAGAGCTGCAGCCCAACCATCCATTAAAGCTTCTACTTCCTCTGGAACCCCAAGCTGTTTTGAGCAGATTGGATTAATAGGTCCTTTCTCCCTCTGGGAATAGGTGGCACCGGTAAGTTGAAAGGCATCAGCCAATGATTTGGCCATGGTAGTGGGCTGACAGTAACGTCCTCCATATCCAGATCATGTCCCAGCTGTCCCAAGATAAACAAAAAAAACAAAAAAACAACCCAAATCTTTGGTATATGTCAGACTCTGAATTATTTGGATTAATTTCATGATCACCACAGTGCACAAGAACTGAGCTGCCTCAATTCCGTGTCACCCAATGTTGAAACCTGTATGCATTTGGTTGTTAAGCATGGATTAAATTCTAAACACATACAAAGACAAAGCAAGGCAAAAAACAAATAATTTCCTTTCCATACATTGCAGTCAATTTAGTGATACTGTATTCTGATAGAATTAAGCTATAAGCATGATATAAAAAAATCTGTCTTCAAAGATAATGTAGTAGTGTAGTATTTAATCAAAGATATAAGTACAGATTAGGTGAGACCTGGCTCAAAAACAGTAACTGTGAGAGGGATCTTGGAGTCCTAGTGGACAATCACTTGACCATGAGCCAGCAATGTGCAGCAGCAGCCAAAAAAGCTAATACAATTCTGGGTTGTACAAACAGGCACAGAATCAAGATCACACGAAATATTAATTCCGCTTTATAAAACCCTAATGAGACCACACCTGGAATACTGCAACCAATTTTGGTCACCATACTACAAAAAAGATGTTGAGACCTTGGAAAAGGTTCAGAGAAGAACTTAGAGGCCTGGAGACTAAAACATATGAAGAATGGCTGTAGGACTTGGGTTAGGCTTGTCTAAAGAAAAGAAGGAATAGAGGTGACATGATAGCAGTACTCCAGTATTTGTGGGGCTGCCACAAAGAAGAGGGGGTCAAATTATTCTCCAAAGCACCAGAAGACAGGACAAGAAACAATAGTTAGAAACTGATCAAAGAGAGAAGCAACCTGGAATTAAGGAGAAAATTCCTAACAGTGAGGACAATTAACCAGTGGAACACCTTGCCTTCAGAAATCGTGGGTGCTCCATCACAGGAGGTTTTTAAGAAGAGACTGGACAGTCACTTGTCTGAGATAGTGTAGATTCTCCTGCTTGAGTGGGGGGGTTGGAGTAGAAGACCTCCAAGTTCCCTTCCAGCTCTATTCTATTCTTAATGGAGGAGTTTAGTATTTAATGGAGTAGTTTAATATTAAGGTTAACCTAAATAATTCTAATATTATTTAGAGCAAGTGCTTTTGAACTTACATGAGTACAACAGTTCTGCCACTGAATAAAGCAATTACAACTTTTCCTGCTTTACCAATTGGAGTGTGTGTTCTTAAGAGAAAAGTTGTGAATTAGAATTTCCATTTATATCATTCTAGAAATACAAGATATTACTAAAATAATCTGGTGTCCCTTTGTAATATTCTCTTCTCCCAGTGCAGCTGCAAAATTAAGTGGGCACACTGGAGAAGGATAGTTTTATCATTGTAGAAATGGATGGGTAAAAGGAATCTGTTGGAGAAAGAATGGGTGGGGGCAAGATCTGAAAAAGTATTGGCAGATTTAGTCATATGAGTGAAATCTGAAGAGATGGCGGACTCTTCTTTGCTGAAGTCTTAGAACTGCTGTAATGAGTATTTTTTTTATTTATATTGTGTATATATACTGTACCAAGTGGCAAAGTGGTTTAGATTATCTCTTCTGCTCCCTATATTTTGTAGTGTCCATAAAAGGTCATTATAGCAAATCAGAATTAAACTAACAAACCAAGGCAACCTGAAACCAGAATTTCAGATCATGAACTAAAAATAAACTAATGGCTAGGAGGGGTAAACTGTAGCTCATCTACTCAAAGCTATGATTTAGCGGTAACCTTTAGCATACAATACAACAGAGATACCATCTTACAATTAGCAAGTAAAAAGGGAGTTAAGTTAGGTTTGCTTAGTCAAAATAAGTCATAAACATGAGACATAGTTGTTAAAGAAATGAGCTTGGTATTCTCTTCAAATAATGGAAGCTGACTGAATTTATTGCAAATTACATGTTTTTTCTTTATATGTGTGTGTGTGTGTGTATTCCAATGCATTTCTCTCAAATGCTTGTTTAACATTTTTAGATCTTAATATAAATCTTTTGCTGCTATCTTAAGAGTTGTGTATCTGAATATTCTAGTGACTTACAGCTTTATTTAACTTTAAATTCTAATTCTGAGCATTTTGAATCCTTCTGCACCCCAGGTATTCTAGAATGGCCATTTTGGACTAAACTAGTAGTTGTAGCTATTGGTTTCACCGGTGGAATTCTTTTCATGTATGTTCAATGCAAAGTTTATGTACAGCTGTGGAAAAGACTTAAAGCTTATAATCGTGTGATATATGTACAGAACTACCCAGATAAAAGCAAAAAGAGCAGATTAGAAAAACCAGATACCGAATATTCAAGTATCCTTAGAAGCCATCATACAGAGACTACCAGCTCAAATTGCACAGAAACTGAAAATGTGAATGTTAACATTCTTCATATTTGACATGTTTTTTTTTGAAGATTTGGATCGGCATTATTTACTATTTTCAGATATTTAATCTCAGTTAAAACTGAGTTGGTAGAAATATTCTTCTTTACCAGAACATCAAATTGGAAGATAAATTGAAGAAAGTCTGCTTGAATGATATATAAATGAAATTGAACATTATTTTCTCCATTTTTAATTAATTTCAGTTTTGGAGTCTTTTTTTCATCAATCGCTCTTAAATATGTTTTGGTTATGTTAAGAATTAAAGTGTCTTTACTATATGAAACTACTAAATGAGACACAAAGGCAGAAAAAACATACATGTTTTTACATAAACATACTATTATATATACCTCTCTAGTGTACAAGATCCTGTTTACAATTCTTCATGTTGTAAATAGTATGTAGTTCTAGTATTGCTCTAAAGAATTTGCTCAATTGTATCTGAACTGTATTACACTCAGGGTAGGGGATATCAAAGCATGAAGCACTTTTAATTGTTTTATATAACAAATTTGAAACAATCTCAGTTCAGTGTATTCCTTTGAATTACTGAAACCACATTAATTTGCAGGCCTGACCATTTGCCTTAAAACAAGGTTTGTAGTAAAATGTTCCTCAAATGTTTTTAAAGTCTAATAATAAATATTTTCTTGACATTTTGTTTGTTTGCCCTTTTCAAAAAATACTGCATATGTTGATTGCACAAACACAAAATAATGACATTATAAATAGATTAAATATCAGTATCCTCTGTGATACTAGAATAAGCCAATTGATCTGATTTTAATAAAAAAGAATTTTAGTGCTGCATTTTCCTAGGATATTTTATATACGTATACATATATATTCCCATCTTGAAGAAAGGAAAAAAAAAACAGACCCAGGGAACTACAGACCAATCAGTCTAACATTAATACCTGGGAAGATCGTGAAAAGATAATCAAAAAACAGATCTGTGAACAACTAGAAGCAAACAAAGTTATAACGAGTAGCCAGCACGGGTTTGCTGAAAACAGATCATACCAAACCAATCTTATTTCATTCTTTGATAAAGTGACTAAATTAGTAGACCAGCGAAGCGCTGTGGACATAGTATACTTAGATTTCAGTAAGGCATTTGACAAAGTAGACCACAACCTGTTGCTTAGTAAGCTAGAAAAAGGTGGGATAGGCAACATCACCACCATATGGATCTATAGCTGACTGACTCAGCGAGTAGTCCTCAATGGTACTACATCCACATGGAGAGAAGTAAGCAATGGGGTACCAGAAGGCTCCGTCTTAGGCCCAGTACTCTTTAATATCTTTATAAATAACTTAGATGAGGGAATAAAAGGGGATCTCATCAAATCTACAGATGACACTAAACTGGCAGGAATACCCAACACCCCAGAAGACAAGCTCAGGATCCAAAAAGATCTTGACAAACTCAAACAATAGGCTCTATCCAACAAAATGAATTTTAATGTGGAGAAAAGCAAAGTTTTACTAGAAGAACAGCTGCAGGACTTGGGTTTGGCTAGTCCAGTGATGGCGAGCCTTTTAAGACTGAGTGCCCAAACTGCAACCCCAAACCCACTTATTTATCACTGGGTGCCAGGCGGGACATGGCCTACTGGATGGGTGTGGCTGTGGTCATGGCAGACTGGGTGGGTGTGGCCAAAGTGGGTGTGGTCACCTCGATGTTGCTCATGGGGAGGGATGCCTGTGGGGGCCGGGCAGGGTTGGGGGAGATCCAGGGGGTCTCTGGCAGGTGGGATGGTGGACAGGAGGATCGTGCTGCGAGGCAAGGCAAGGTGGGGTGCCATTGCCGTGGGGCAAGGCGAGGCAGAGGCCGGGGCAGCTGCTGCCTGACATCATTGCCCCCCCCCACAGAGGCCAGTGAGTGCATGGGAGCCGACGGTGTCCGTCAGCAGCCACAGCCTGCCAGCTCGACTGGCTCACTCTGGGGCTCCGCAGCCCACTGCCAGCAGTTCAGAGAAGCCACTTCTGAGCTGGACAGCTGGCCGACAGTTGACGTAATGCAGTAGGTCATGCCTGCAAAAAGGAGAGCATGTGGGGCCAGGAGGAACAGGACAGGGGGGAGGGAAACCAGCCGTGCCAGGATGCATCTGCCCACGTGGGACCTCAGGCAGCTGGTTGAAGAGGGACGGTTGCCATCTCCAGGGCATGGCATGCATGCCCACAAACAGACTCTGAGTGCCACCTCTGGCACACGTGCCATAGGTTCGCCACCACTGGGCTAGTCTAAAGAAAAGAAATACGGGTGACATGATAGCAGTATTCCAGTATTTGAGGGGCTGCCACAAAGAAGAGGGGGTCAAATTATTCTCCAAAGTACCAGAGGGCAGGACAAGAAATAATGATTGAAAACTGACCAAAGAGAGAAGCAACCTGGAATTAAGGAAAAACTTCCTAACAGTGAGGATAATTAATCAGCTTGCCTTCAGAAATCATGGGTGCTCCATCACTCTTTAAGAAGAGACTAGACCAGGGCTTTTCAACCAGAGATACATGTACCACCAGTATTACATTGGCACCTGGCAGGTGGTATGCGACCCTGTCCAGCCTAGCCAAGTGTAGTGGGGGAGGGAACAAGCTACAGTGGCACAGTGCAGGACTTGCAGTGAGAGAGTCCTCAGGAGCTGCAGGGCTGCTGGGGCAAGACAAAGGCCCCAGGATTGGCAATTCTGGCACACCCTGAAAAGAAAGGACGAGGGGGGTGGAGACAGGAGAGGCTTTAAAAGGAAGCAGATTTGGCTGGAGAGGGAGAGAGAGAAAAGACTCCAGAGAAAAGGCTTTTGTCAGAGAAGTAGTGAGGAGAAGGGGGGGGGAAGCTTTCTGGGAGAAATGTGTGAGAGAGATGGAGGAAAGACTTTCTGGGAGATATGTGTGAGAGTCAGAAAAGGCTTTCTAGGAGAAGTGGGTGAGAGAGACAGGAAAGGCTTTCTGGGAGAATGTGTGTATGAGAGAGAGACCAAAGGGCTTTTGCGAGCAAAGGGTGAAAGAAAAAAGGAAAAAAGTGAGGGGAGAAGGGAAAAAGAAAAGGCATTGACTTCCATCTTTCTCTGTTGCAGTAGCAGGAAGCATTAACATTGAACTTCAACTTTTTACTTTTTCATAATATTATAAAGTAGCCATTTCTATAACAACAAATGAATCTAATCAGTAAAACCCAAAATCCCTCCCCCTTTTTTTAGTCATCAAGTTTTTGACACCTTGCTAATCACTGGTGGTACTTGAATATTGTCACGTAGTAAAGGTGGTACAATTTCTGAAAAGGTTGAAAAGCCCTGGACTAGATAGTCACTTACCTGAAATGAGCAGGGGGCTGGACTAGAAGATCTCCAAGGTCCCTTCCAGCTCTATTCTATCTTCAAGTCAGCGTTGACTCCTGGTGATTGCCTTGGCAACCTTTTTGGAAGTGGTTGCTCTTGCCTCATTCCTCAGGTTGAAAGATTGTGTCCAGCCCAAAGTCATCAACTGGTTTTGGGGCCTGAAGCAGGACTAAAATTCAAAGTCTTTATCACTACCTGGCCACTTTCTAGCATTACTACTCTCTGTAATGGCAGAGAGGGCCAGGTTTTCACCAAAGCACCAGATGGAAGGATGAGAATCAATGATTGGAAACTGATCAAAGAGAGAAGCAATCTGGAACTAAGGAGAAACTTCCTGACAGTGAGGACAATCAAGCAGTGGAACAGCTTACCCCCAGAAATCGTGGGCGCTCCATCACTGGAGATAGTTAAATGTGCTTTAACTTCTTGGAATGCTCAAAGTATTAATCATAAGAAATTGAAGTGTTTGATGGCTTTATTTCTTTCTTGAATTTCTAGGTCATCCAAGTCCAAAACTATTTTGAGCAGCTTCACAAGTTACAAGAAACAACATTAAATAAAAAACAACCATCATCTGAGGGACAATGTAATCACCAACAATATCATTCTCAACTCAGAAGGTCTATCCAACACACCAAGACCTGGGGGGGGGGGGTTGGCAGGGGAACCTTTTAAGGTTGCTTGAAGGCAGACAATGTGGGAACCATATGAATCATTAATTAGCTAAGTAAATTAATTGACTGCTGTCTAATGTGGATAGTTAACTTCTTTAAAATAGCTCATGAGTATCTTCTGCAAGATAAGTTCCAGATACATTCTGTTCCACATTTGGTTTGATTGGACCAATTTAACTTATCCACAGTCCCTATGGAAATTCAAATTAGCAGCTACAACTTAAACCTGTTTGGATTGCAATCTGAATAAAAGAGAAGAACATCCAATAGCCTTCTGTCTTTCACTTATAATGAACAGGATGAACTTTCCATATCTTCTTCTGCTGAAAATATAGGTGGTAGAAAGATTTACAAGGAGCATATACAAGCGGATAATCTGATATTGCAACATACCAGAAAGGTACGCTAACTGATGATAGAAAAGGCAGCACTGCAATTTGTACTTAGTTTCAGTCTTTTAGTTGATAGGATCTATGTTAGTAGTTAATACCTTGATTTATGACTAAAATTGGAATGGTAACTAAGCAATGCAATTAAATGAGTCACACTTGCTTTACAACCTTTCCCCTACAATCATTAAGTAAATCAAGTGTTTACATACCATTTACCCAGCACCTGAATTTTTTTTCATGTGATCATGGGACACTTCAATGATCTTAAATACAAGGACCAGGTCATAAATCACTTTTTTCAGCACTGCCATAACTTTGGGCGTTAACTGATCATAAGCTGAGGACTACATGCAATGTATACTAACATTAATGAGTGACTTATCTGCTTGTTTAGTCAGTAACACCATCAAAGTAAACAACTCATGTGATGCAGAGGGCACCAGTCATAACTAGACATAACGATTGGAACCTAATTCCATCAAGAAAAGGGTAACAGTCAACTCTAGGGTGCATGGTTAGCTTAACCTCATACCTAGCCATAATTCTAGATGGATTCAAATAAAAACTAAGTTAAGTGAATAATTAACGAAACACTAGGATGTGCTGTGTTTAGGAAACCATTTCTATTTTGTACATTGGTGGTGCAGTAGTTAGAATGCAGTGTTGCAGGCTAATTCTGCTGACTGCCAAGGGTTCGATCCTCACCAGTTTAAAGTTGACTCATCCTTCCATCCTTCCGAGGTTGGTAAAATGAGGACCAAGATTGTTGAGGGAAATATACTGACTCTGTAAACCACTTAGAGTTATAAAAGCACTGTGAAGTGGTGTATACTGTAAGTGCTATTGCTATTGTGAAATAATAGTGTAAAGAAGCTTTTAATTTTTGTGGTCTTGAAATCAGCTCTCTGAATGCAGGAAAAGCATTTTAAGCCACACTGCCCCTTTTCTAAATGCTTTTATTTCTATGCATTTAAAATCTTTCCCTCAAATGTGGGAGAAAAGGACTTTTAAACCTTCCTTTATTTGGGATTCCTGGTTCCCATAAAGCTTTCTTATCAGAGGAATCACTAACAGTAAGACTATAACAGAGTTGAAAGGGACTTTGGAGGTTTTCTAGTCCAACCTCCTGTTCAAGCAGGAGACCCTATACCATTGCAGACAAATGCCACACAAAGTGCACTAATCAAACGGGGTAAGAAAATAGGGGAACTCAGGCACCACACTGGTTATGTAGAAAGTAAACACAGGGTTAGTCATAAAGGACTCAAATGTCTATGCATCAATGCACAGAGCATGAGCAACAAACAGGGTGATTAGAAATTCAGGTAAATGAGGGCAGATATGATATTGTTGCTATTACGGAAACTTGGTGGGATGAAACCACAAATGGAACACACAGCTAGAGG